TCAACATTAATCACAAAATTATAATTTTGCTTTTTTTTTTTTTTTTTTTTACAAAATCAGAATTTATTGAAAGTAAATTTTATTCAACATTACTGAGTATAATGTATAAGATGTGCCCCGTTTTTTATCTTAATACCGTTTTCAAAAAGTTCACATCAAAATATGCAGTAAGGGGATTACTTTTCCTATCAAACAAATAAGTTTAAGTTGCAAAAAGAATTTTGTTCACTTCCGTCCCCAACAATTTTTAATTAAAAAAACATATATATGGAAAGATCGTATTCCCAAAATTAAACAAAATATATCCATACAACGAAGGAGAAAACAACAAAAACTCCTCGCAGTATTCTAGTCATTTATTAAGTACCTTAATCACCGAACAACTTATGAAACCATCACAAACTGATCGCTTTCCATACAGGAATATCATCCTGAAATCGCACCGACTAAATTTCTAAAAGTCAATATCTAAGTCAATAGCCGAACTTTGGCTTAATAGACCTTAGCATTGTGGCCGCTATAAGAGGCATCGTAGCTGTTATAAGCATTATAGCTGTTATAGGAGGCATCGTGGGCGTAGCCGTAGTTCTTCAGGCTTGGACACTGGTCTGGCTTGTTGATGACGAGGTAGCCATCACAGCAGTCTTGGTGACGTCTGTCGTAGACAACTCCACCACAGCAGTCCTCATAAGTGGTGCTGAAGGCTTTGCCATTGCAGCTGAGGAGAGAGAGAAATAACGTACATGATCAGCGGTGATGGTAAATAGAACGTGCATTACTGAGAGAGAGAGAGAGAGAGAGAGAGAGAGAGAGAGAGATGGGGGAGGAAGAGAGAGGGGGGGAGAGAGAGAGAGGTGGTAGCCGTATCCGCAAACGCTGCTTAACATGAATAGAAAATAACAGAAAGAATTTGAAAAAGATTTATAAGCTCTAAGCCACTCTGACTGACGATAAAAGTAGAAAACTAAATGACGCATAAAGTGAAAAGTGTCTTTAGAATGTAAGAATAAAAAGAAAACTCCATTAAATTTCCAAACACTTCGTACATAAGATTTAGTACTAATTTTGCTTTTTAATTCTTTGAAAAAGACAAAAATCCTCAAAATGAAAAAATGTTGACATACGAATTTAGTTCACCACTGAACAAAATATGCCATTGAAATAAATAAATAAATAAATAAATAAAATGTTGTTGGACAAAGAAGTTAAAAAGACATAGGCTGCAACAGGTGCCCTGGTGTAAAATTAAAATTTGGTGTAAACCATCCGCAGACTGCCTTCCCAAGTTTCCAAGACTTTCTGCTCTTTCGGATTAATATCTGTTAAATTTCCAAATACTTCGTAAATTGGCAGATTGCTAGCTTTTGTGTTCATTTTGAAATGCTGCTCCATTTGTGGTGGAAAATGGTGAGGAAATAATGAGGACGACCTGGTGTCGTTTTATAATAAATACGAAAGCATCTAAACACAGACTTAAAAAAAGAAACCATGAATTTAGCGATGCACAAACAAAAATATGATAAAAGCGCAGAGAGAAGATTTACGTCTCTAAAACTATCAATTTTAAAGCGGGTTTTACACTTACCTAGAGATGTAGTCTTCTGGGCGTCCGCGGGCCTTGGGGACGTAGCCGTAGTTGTAGCCTCTGCGGGCGTAGCCACCATATCCGTAGCCAGAACGGGGAGCGTAATCGCCGTAGTAACGGTCGCCTCCCTTGTATGAGGTGGCGGCGGCGGCGCAGATAACAACAGCGAGGACAACAAGCTTCATCATCTTGGCGGTCGACAGGGCGTACGGCAAAATCTCCGACGGTCTACGAGTTTCAGAAGAGAGGTACGGGGTTTGCGTCGCCGGGGAGGTTTTATACTACGTTTTACGTGTGAAGCGCCATTAGCGTCACACGTGAGACATACTTAAAGTTATGTGGCTGGTATTGTGCTTCTTTAATAGTATTTGCCCCTGCGTTTAGTTCACCCCATCATATAATACATATTAGGTAACGTGTACTATTTTCTGAGCCCTGGTTGTTTTCTGAGATGGTCCTGTGTCGTGTTGGATTGTTATTTGTAAATTGCCAGATTTCGAGATGGAGGCGATTGCCGGCAAGTCGCGTGGCCATTAATGTGTAAATTATCACTAGAGGACACACCTCTTAATTAGAAGGGTGACGTCTCCTGCGCTCTCAACCTATCACATGTTGTCGAAGAGAGACGCAGAGAAAAGCTGAAGGATTATAAATTGATAGATTCCCTCCCCAGATGTCGAAACGCTCACCACAAAGCCATTATTATCTTTCTTTTAATAATGGCATAAATTTCACCAGACACAATTTTGAAAAAAAAAAAATTACCCTCGTGAATGTTGACGCCGTGACCTTCCATCGGGTAAGGCGTCGCCCCTATCAAAACCATTAAGTTCTGCTAAACTGCTCTTAGCAGGCGATCTTTAAGTTACGTTTGATGTTTTTACATCATATTTATGACTTTAACCGTTGGAACTATCTGTCTGAAAATGTTCATTTAACGTGTGTTCGTGTCTTCTAACACATGTCTTCGTGACCTTACCTTACATAATGCTAACACTGTTTGTCGAGAGGTCAAAAGAAGGAATTATAAATATAAACGTTCAATGTTTTCTGTGGTTACGTGTGTATTTTTGTCTACCTGGTGGAATAAACTTGCTACATGTAAGCAAAAAGCAACTTCTCAACACGTAAAACTTGAGGGTTGTCTGAAGAACATCAGCAGAAGACTCTTAACGAAAAAATCTTAACGATCGATGACTTCTTCTAAAGGTCACAGCTATCTTGACGGCTTTAATGTCGCAGTCACACCATCTTCTGTCATTTTTTGTACTTGATCGCCTTTAATGGCCACTAGTATGCAATCAGAGGGCAAAGACACCTGAAGAAGACAATTGTCGACGAAAAATAAAAACGTTTCTAACGATCTATTGATGCATGTACTTCTTTCTTGAAATTTCAATTCCACAATTTAACTCTCATTCAGAAGCGTTTATTTAAACGATTATGTTAAATTTTGAGGCTCATATATATTTTAAAAATCTTGAAAGATGTTTTAAATTATAAGCCTTAGTGAGAGATCTTTCCACTGATTATTTTCATTAGTTTTGTCTTTGTACCTGGTGTAGCCCCATTATATCTATCTATAAGAAATCTGTACTGATAGTTTGCAACAGGTAAACCATGATATCTATCTGTAAGAAATCTCTTTATTTATTTTGCAACAAAAACACCGAGATACCTATTTGTAAGAAATTATTATATTTATTTTGCAACAGAAACACCATGATATCTACATATCAGAAATCTATATTTATTTTTCTGCAGAAACGCGGCTACTTTATCAAGCATACTTCACCCAATATTAAGCAATTTTCTGTGATGTATATGTGTCTTTTTCAGTTATGTTTCTACACTAGCCATAATGTGGTATCACCGGTTTATTTCAATGTGCTATTAATACTGTCCTAGCTCTGAAGAAGGTTCTAATTGCATCCACATTCTTATTAAAAGAATCGTCGATCTTTTGTTGTTTCATAAGGAAAATAATCAGCGCCATATAATGCCGTATGAAAGATAGACAGTCAGACCAAATTTTCCCGTTAGACGACATTGTGGAGGGGGGGTGGGGGTATTCAATGGTGCCGCGCACGCGCTAATGGCGACAAATCGCTGACCTTTTTCATTTTTGTTTTGCTGCTTGGATATTTATTTAATAAAGCCATCAGACCTTATTCGCCTCTAAAATTTTGTAACAGCTAGAAGCACTTCTGGTGGAGGGTTACCCTATTCCAGGCGCGGCAACTATAACAATACACCAGCCCCTCAGGCACGACACGTATACGTAATATTATAAGTTTGAAGTACAGGTAATATAAGCTTAGACATGTCCAACAAAAACAAAATGCTCTAAGGAAGTATTATATACGTTAATACACGTGTTGCTGTGAAGATAGATGTTTTTTATAAATGGTAAGTTCTCATAAAGAGAGTAGGGGGAATAGTCACAACGCCTACTCATTCTATGCAATAAAAATAATAATAATAATAATAATAATAATAATAATAATAATAATAATAATAATAAAGGCGTCGATCATTTAAAACATGTATATATAAAGTTTGGTGACTTGAAGGCCCATGAGGCCGAGTGATTCATATACTTATATATTCACATGTCACGTTAATAAATAAATAAGTACTATGTACGGTAGCAAAACGTTGATATTTTCATAAGTGTAGCACCATTGCTGACGGCTGATTTTGACTAGTTACTGCTTGCTTGGTTTATTTCATCCATATTCAGTTTTAGTATAGTAGATTCAAGTAGCTGATAATTACAACGCTGCCTGCTTGACGGAGACTTAGACGCTGTGAATATCTGCCTAGGGCCTTGTTCAGCACCGTTCAAGTTAAAAATGCTTTTAGATTAATTTTCTGAGAGAAACGGTTTGATTTCAAGCACACTTGTGTATTACAACAATCCATTGGTAAAGTTGATTCAGTGGTAACAAAAGTTCACACTTTGCTCCAGACGATTTACCCGTCGTAGCGTTCTATATACATCCAGGGGTTAGACTTAAAACCAGTTTTATAAAAACGGTGCAGGATGCGACCCATGACAAGTGGGAAGCGTACTTTTATCAGCACCATAACAAGTGATATATCAGTTATGTCGATCACGTCAACTCTCTAAATGCGTAGGTCCATATATATTTTATATGATATCTAACTGAATACAACTGATAACCCGTATCACTCGGCAGGGAGCACACAGTGCAGTGAGGTAGATATATTATATTATATTATACCACCACCAATACTCACAACACGTGGCCAGCCTCACCTGGCAGTGAAGCCGGCTCGCCTGGGGTGGGGGGGGGGGGGGGTCTTGTCGCTCGAGATTATATGCCAACAGTACAACATGTCTCATTTCTTTCTCCATCTTTTTTTAAAATCAATTGCATGTACAAAGCAATCTATCTAGGAGGGTGGGGGGGCTGCCGCTCCAGATTTGTAAGTTCATATTTCAAGGTGTCATTTTTCCCAATCAAAGTAAAAGTTTACTTCTTTGCAGATCAATACATCAATATATCTTATATATTGGAATGCAGTGACATGTTATAGAGACGGATACTGTTTCTAGAGTATTGTAGAACAAACAACAGTGTGTGTGTGTGTGTGTGTGTATTTATGTATGTATGTATGTAAATCTACGGCACTTCTCACATTGAGCGGTATACTTTACTGGGCCAGTCTGGACCGGTCCACTTTCACAGGGAGCTAACCCCC